GAGCCTGGACTAAGGTCACCCACAGGCAGGCTTGTGAAAGCTGGGCCCCATCCCCCACGGCAGCCACCGTGGGAGAGAAGGCCCTCAAGGTCAGGTGGTGAGCTTGGGGGGAGGAGGAAGAGGAAGCTGGGTGACCAGGCCAAGCTGGCAAGAAGGCGGAGCAGCTCAAGTCCCCTCCCCCGACCAGAAACAACCCCAGGCTCTCCAGAGGGGTAGGGCACAGAGCCTGCTAGCCCCTGGGCTGGGAGGGGCGGCACTTGAGAATCTCACCTGGGTCTCGGTTAAGCTCTCCAGGGCCTGCATCACAGACTGTTCTGGCCTTGAGGCCTGAGACTACAAAGAGAAGGAGGGGAAGAGACCCTGAGTATGCATTCTAGGTTGGGCACCTGGGCACAGGGACTGGGAGGGCCCTGCTAGGTGGGGGGTAGGGGGTAGGGAGCCCAGACAGGTGTGATGGGGACCACGCTGGCATGAAAGGGCGCAGCCCTCCCATGTTGGGGCCTCCTCAGCCATTTACCATGAGGCCCGCCTCCACGGTGGGCACGAGAGTCAGCTTGCTGCCATCCCCCACGCCGAACTCCTGCAGCTTCCCCGAACTGAGCCGGCTGGTGGGGCGGGGAGGGGAGGGGGAGGAAGGAAGAGGGTGAGGCTACAGCCGAGACCAGGCAGGGACGCGGAAGCAGACGCCGAGGGAGACAGAAGTCCTTCCACCCCCATCTTTCAGACCCTGGGCCCCGATAGTGGGGGCGAGGCTCACTCTCCGGTCCTGGGACCCCTTGCTAGTGGTTCAGACCACCTTCTCTCAAGGAAACCCAACTCTGGAGTGGGGCACTGCCTTTGCACCCCAGCGAGACACTTTTTTTGTTACCCGGGTCCCATTTTGCCCTGTGACACCCTCCCAGCCACCCCGGGGCCAGCCCTGCCAGTAATTCACGAACTCCAGCCCCGGGCTCCTCTTGTGGGGCCCCAGGACGCAGCCTTCAGGGGCTCTGCCCGGCAGGGCTCCCCCTCCTCCCTCCTTCCCCGGCGCAGGCGGCCGCCGCTCAGACAAAGGAGACCCTCCCCCTCCCGCCCCTCCCCCACCGCGGCCCCTCCGCTGGGGACGGACACGGCGCGTCCCCGGAGGCCGGCGGGAGGAGGGCTTCCCAGCCCGGAGGCGATTTAAATACCGTGGGGGGAGGGGGAGGGGAGGCTGCGGGGAGCGCTCGTGGCGAGAACAAAGGGGGGCAGCGAGACGCCAGTGGAAGGAGACAGCCAGACGCACGGAGGGCTGCCGAGCAGATGCGGAAGCCGGCAGAGGAGCAGGCAGGGGAAGCGACAGCAGCGGCCCCCCCACCCCCGCCGAGGGGAGCGCCGCGCCGGACCGGGGCTCCCACCGTCCCTCGAGGGGGTCGCCCGAGCCCCGCGGGAGGCACAGTCGCAGCAGCCTTTGTGCAGCGACCCCAGGCGGGGGAGGGGGCTGAGGCAAGCGAGGCTGAGCAGAGGGCGCCCGAGAGCGCGCCAGTCCCCCCACCCCCGGTCTGGCCGCCCCCTTCCTCTCCCGAGCCGCGAGCTCTTTGTTCCCGTCCGGGGGCTGGGGCCACAGGGGGGCCACAGGCCGGGGGCGCGCTGCGGCAAGGGCGGCGCTCGGTACCTACGTGTCTTTGTGGAGCAGCGCCAGGCGCTCCTTGGGCACTTTGAGGCGCTGGGACAGCCGCTTGCGCAGCCCTTCCACCGTCTCGTCGGGGGACACCGACAACTCGTAGCGAGTGCCCGTCGTGCTGTGGATGGCCAGGCTCATGGACGCCGCCTCCGCCGCGGAGCCCAACTCGCAGGCGCCGCCAGGGGCTCCGCGCCGGCAGCTCCGGGCGCCGCCTGGCTGCGGCTCCATCCCCGGCCCGCGCTGGGGACCTGGGGTCCGCGGGGCAACGCCAATCCTCGCCGCGCCTCCGGACAGGGCCGGGGCTCCCCGAACCAGGCTCCCGGGGGCACTGGGGGTGCGGGGCAGCGCGTGTCCCCTTTGAGAAGGTCCCAGGAACAAATGGCGAACCAAGAATCTCAGTGGCGCTCCCTCCGGGGTCGCGTCGGCTCGTTGGGGCGCCTTCCGGGGGTGGGGACTGTACTTGCGGCTTCTATTCAAGGGCGGCGGGTGTCGACCGAGACCAGGCGGGCGCGGGGGGAGGGTCCCAGAGAGTGGGCGCCGCCGGCTGACCGCGCTCACTGCCGTCTGCCGCTCCGGCCGCGTTTCTCGGCGCGTCACCTCCCTTAGCAACAGTCGCCGCCGCCGCTCCGAGGATCTGGGGGTGAAAGTAACAAGAAAAAAAAGTTATAATGTAGCAACGTTCCAAGGGGCGGGGCCTCCGCCCCCTCCCATTCACTACTTACTCTGCCGGCCCGCGCCGGCCAATCGGCTCACACCAAAGGCCGAGTGGGCTGCGCTCGCGGACCAATGACTGTAGCCGCGGCGCTGCCCCACGTGGCCGCAGGGCCCGCCCCTGGCCCCGCCCCTGCTCCGGTGGCCAAGGGGAGCGCGGCGGGGGCGGAGCTGGAGCCGCCGAAGCCGGCCCCCACGCCCCCGCCCGCGCCGGGGGCCATTCATAAGGCCTGGTGCCCACAACAAAGGGCGAGCGGCCAGGGAGGACTCGGGGCCTTTTCCCGGAGCTGTGTGGCGTGAGGGCCGGCTTTGTCCCCACGCCAGCATGGGCAGGATGTCGCGTGACCCCTCCCGCGTCCGTCCGGGAAGCTACCGCGAGCGGAAGCGGGAGGCGATGCCCGCGCCTCGTGGTTGGGCCACGTTTCGGTGGCTCGCGGGCAGGTTCGACTTTGGGGCGTGAGGTCTCCACGAGCTGATGGCGAGCCCTACATCCCAGTGACGTGGCCGGTGTAGGGGCGACCCTGGTGCTACCTCGCGTCCCACCCGAGTCCCGCTGGCTGGACTCGCTTCTCGAGTCGCACCCGCCGGAGCTGTGACGTGACGCGGCGTCCCCGGTGGGGCCCGCGCGCACCGCTCGGCTCGGGGCGGCGTGAGTCAGCAGCGCCGGCGCGCCCTCTGCCGGCCCCCATCCTGGAGCTCGGCTGGGAGTCCTGGGGAGGGGGCGCGGACTGTCCGGGGCAGAGGCAAAGCTGGCCGACTTCGGGCGCGAAGGGAGCCTCGCTAGTGTGAACCCTCTAAATCATAAAACTGAGGCTGTACACACCGGAAATCAGGCTGGAACAGCAACTAGCTCAAGGTCACTCCGGGGAGGGGGAGTGCCGGGGGTGGGTGGGGCAGAGGTCGAGGTCCCGTCTAGGGGTTACTGCTGCGCCTCGCTCCACCCATTCCAAGTCCCGTGAGGGAAGGGGTGCTTCCCAGGACTGGAGATATCCCTAACCCTGTCTGCCCCAAGAACAAAGAAAAGTGGGGCTCCTTAAAAGCCTAGAGCGGGGAACCCCTCCTCGGCCCGCGAGATCCCGCCCACAACTCACCGGGCGCGGCCGGTCCGAGGTCACAACAGTCCTTTCATGTACCTAGGTCGGGAACGAGTGCGCTGTGGAGGGGTAGGTGTGGGGCCGTACCGGCGGCCCTGAACCTTTATCCGCGCCGCCCTCCCTGGGGTGGAGTTTGGGCGGGCAGGGGTAGTGGGAGGGAACCGGGCGGGCGGTGACGCAGGCCATCCCGCCCCTCCCAGTGGGCCGGAGCCGGGAGTGCCGCCCGGCCCGGGCCACTTGCCCCGTAAAGGACTGCGCTCCTGGAATGCCACCGAACCCGAGGTCACGGTTGTCTAAGTCGACGACTCGGTCGCACCCCTACTTGGGCCACGGGTATTGGGTTTCTGGTGGCACAGCCGGGCTCCCTGACATTTTTCTGCCGCTCCAAGCCCTGTGCTTCCGCTTGGGGGTGCCCGCAAGGCGGAAGGCGGGGCGTGGGAAGGGGAGCCTGAGTCAGCAGCACAGTCCAGGAAAACAGGCCGGTCACCTGCCCGGAGTGGGGGTGCCGCGGCCGCACATCCCTTAACAGTGACCTCAGAGGGCATTTATGGAGCGATTAACCAGCACCTGGACTGCCTTGTGCAGCCAGTCATCACACGTCCTGGCCTCGGGAGCCTGTTTCCTGGGTGGTCATGGGGTGGTATGAGAATCCTGCAGGAGTCACCCTGGGGCCTGAGGTATGGGTCCCTCACTCAGACCCAATAATGCTGTCATCATTCAATAATGCATCATTCAATAATTCAATAATCCTTTGGGCTGGGCATAACCCCTCTACCCATTTCACATATTAGGAAATAGACCACACAGGCAGGGGCATGGTATGCCATTTGGTGGCTTTCTGGGGATGGCCCTGATTGGTGGTGGGCCCTATTGGTCCTCCTGACACTTCTGCCCAGAAAGGGCCCCCAAGTTCTACTCACCCAACTCTATCTGCTTTTCTGGTTTCTCCTTTTATCTGGCATGACCATCCCCACCTCTACACTCAACATCCCTCCCAGAGCTGTTCCTTCAGGCTCTCACACAATGCTCGTACGGCCTCTGCCCCACCCCCACCCCAAGGTCAGTCAGGACTTGGCAGGAAGGAGTTACTGGAACTGGTGTTGAGGGATGGAAAGCAGTTTGCCACAAACACAGCATAGTTCTCCAGGAAATGGAAACAACTACTGCAAAGGTCTGGAAACTTAAGTGGCTGTAGGTTGTGGAAACAGGCAGAGGGGTCCAGGGTATGGGCTCTGCTTCCAGCTTGGGAGATGGCAGAGGAAATAGAGCAGCCTAGGTGGGACCACCAAGGGGTAGGGATGTTGCTACAGGGGTAGGCAGAACTCAGGCTGGTCCCTGATCTTGCTGAAACCACACTGGGTGTGTGTGTGTGTGTGTGTGTGTGTGTGTGTGTGTGAAGGGTTGCTCTTGGGGGGGGGGGGGGGGAGTTGAAAGGCCCTGACCTTGCTCTGAAGGTCTAATTTAATAAACATGCTAATCAACTGGCTCATTAATTCCCATTTAGAACATCCCTATATTTCAGCAATCGTCACAGGATATAAGCACAGTTGTACCAGGGGACCCCTTTCCTGCCCCCTCAGGTCCCCAAGCCTGCCCTGTGGATGAGGTCCAGATCCCTTCTGCCCCAGGTCTTGGCCCTGCCAGCACCAGCTGTTCCCTCAGGGCCCATGTCAGGCAGGGTGTGCCCCCAAGTCTCATGTCTCCCAGGGGAATGTACTATGGTGTCCCAGTTGCATCCCTCTGTGTCCCCAGCTGGAGGCTGAAGTCTCTTGGGACATAAGCAGAGAGTGGGTGCCGGCGCAGCATTTTGGTGATGGTCTCCCTCCTTAACCTCCCTTCTTTGATTTATGGTGCCCAACCTGGCCATGACTTTTTTTTTTTCTTTTTCTTTTTAAAAAAAAATATATTTTATTGATTTTTTTTTTTAACAGAGAGGAAGAGAGAGGGATAGAGTCAGAAACATCGATGAGAGAGATTAATCGATCAGCTGCCTCCTGTACACCCCTCACTTGGGGATTGTGCCCACAACCAAGGTACATGCCCTTGACCGGAATCAAACCTGGGACCTTTCAGTCCGCAGGCTGATGCTCTATCCAGAGCCAAACCAGTCTCAGCTGGCCATGAACTCTTAAGACCTTGTCTCTGAGCTGGAGACAAAGTGGTGCTGCACGTGCACTGGCTATCACAGCCTTCTCAAGGCTGGGAGTTCCTGGGAAGTAGGGGACTGCTGCTTGGGCCTCAGTTGCCTGAGAGAAAGGAGACCCAGGCATGTGCATCGGTACACACACACACACACACTCACACACAGGAAGATCACCTGGAGGCCCCACAAATATGGGACTCTCACCATGTCAAGCCTTGAACACAGCCATGTGACAGTCACTTGCATAGGACTGTGACACACTAGTGCACAGCCCATCCATATTGATGACATGCCCCAGGGTGGCTCCCTGTGTGTCACCAGGCTCTTCTGAACACTCACCTTCCTAGAATACCCTGCAAGCCCAGCTAGGGTTCAGGGCCTGGGGTGCCACAGAGATGCCAACACCAACGGAAGTCAGGCAGGCATCCATCCAGGGCCACCCACAGGCTGGTCCTGCACAAGGCGGGGCCTGCTTGGGAGCAGGGCCAGGAAGCCCACAGAGTGGAAATCACAGCCTGGAACCTGACTGGACCCTAGGTGTCTTGACTAGCAGCCCAGTCCTGACCCAAGAGCCACAACCACCCCTCCACCCATGCTGTCCTGCTGTCACTAGCTGTGTTCTCCTCCACTCCTCAAAGGCTCCCAAGGACCTCTTATCCCTGAAGGTGAGGCCCTCCCTAACAGAGAAATGGTATCCCAAGCCCATTGCCCTAGCAGGAGACAAAATAAGCACACACAAGAGGGATCCCTGGTCTTTAATGGGGTGCACACTGGGGACAAGCTGTCCAGAGGAGGCAGTAGGGAGAAGAGATTTTACAGCATGAAAGTGGAGGGCAGCAGGTCAGATTGGTGGGATCTTTGGAGGGGGGAGGCAAATCCCTTAGGTGACAGTCCCCCCAAGAGCAGAGCAGGTCTCTGAGCTCACCCCTGCCACCAGGCCTGGGAGAAGCTAGCAATTTGCTGCCCTCCCTCCCCAAGACAAGGATGGCTGCCTCCCCGAGGGGTTGCTCCCACCCTCATACTGGACCCAGGAGAGCTGGTTCCAACCCCTGTCCCACTCTGGTCTTGGTTTCCCTGCTGACACTGGCGAGGAGCACGCACCGCCTACTCCAGAGCCTTCACCAGGGCTTCGTTGGCCTCGATTCGGATTTGGATTTCAGCCCTCGTGGCCTCGTCGGATGCCCCTGACAGCTCCGATTGTGCCTTCTCCAAGTTTGCCTTGGCTGCCTACAGTAGGTGGTGGTTAGTGAGGTCCAAACAGGGTCCCTGTCCTGGCACCTGCCCTTCCACCCCCAAAGCCAGAAGCCCTTAGCTCGTGCCTGCTAGGGGCCTCAGTTTCCGCTGGGACACTTACCCCCAAATCCAGCATGTCCAGCGTCACAGCCTCTTCAGCCAGTAACTGAACTGATGAATCAGCGTTCACTGTGATCGAGCCACTGCTGACTGCGGGAGGAGAGGGGGTGAAGAGCACCACATCTAGGCTTAGGGGAAACCACCAGCCCCAGGACAATGGCCACACAAGGGCCCTGGGATCCAGTCCGGGAAATGGGCACATGGAGAGAACACATGAGACCAGGGGCCCACCAAGGGCATCTGCTGGTGGCTGGGCATGGGGACACAGACCCTTCCCTTCACCCACGAGCTTGTAAGTTGAGCGGGGTCAGGTGAACAGAGGGCTGTGTTTGAATCCTGGATGGCTGGAGCTTTGGAGACTAATGCTGGTGAAGGTCGTAGAGCTGGTTTCTTTCTGTACAAGCCAGGCCCCTTGCCAGCACTTTTTATTTTTATGTATTTATTTATTTATTTATTTATTTATTTTTATTTTTTCACAGAGAGGAAAAGAGAGGGATAGAGAATTAGAAACATCGATGAGAGAGAAACATCAACCAGCTGCCTCTTGCACACTCCCTACTGGGGATGTGCCCGCAACCAAGATACATGCCCTTGACCGGAATCGAAGCTGGGACCTTTCAGTCTTCAGGGTGACGCTCTATCCACTGAGCCAAACCGGTGTCAGCACACTTTTTATTTTTAGAGAACATTTAGTAAAGTTGGGCACAATGAAACAAAGAAGGGCCTAGGATAGAAGAAAGGACGAGGAGGGGAAACGAGGCTAAGCTGGGCTGTGTTGGCTCACTAAGACGTCAGTGAAAAAAAGGGGCCTTGGGGACGGACAGGGTTAGGGTTAGCCCAGGACAAGCTGCCACTGCCCATTGCTCCCTGGCTGCAAGTCTCTGTGGGGTCTCTTAGAGTTTAGGATATGCATGCCCGTGGGGGAAGAAGGGAGGGAAGGGCAAGATGGGAGCTGCTTCTGGAAGGGAGAGCACACCCAGCCAGCACCATTTCACTTCTCTTCCCAGCATCTGCCACCCTCCTTCAACCCACTACAAGCTTCTTAACCACAGCCAGTAAGAAGCTGGAAACTGCAAAAATGCTTCTGGCTTTCTTCCTATTGTGTCCTCCGAATGCCCACAGCACTTTTTCTTTTCTTTTCTTTTTAAAAAAAAATATATTTTATTGATTTTTTACAGAGAGGAAGAGAGAGGGATAGAGAGTTAGGAACATCGATGAGAGAGAATCATTGATCAGCTGCCTCTTGCACACCCCCTACTGGGGATGTGCCTGCAGCCAAGGCACATGCCCTTGACCGGATTCGAACACGGGACCTTTCAGTCGGCAGGCTGACGCTCTATCCACTGAGCCAAACCGGTTTCGGCCCACAGCACTTTTTCTTGCTATACCAACTGAATTGGGGACAGATTTGCTACAACATGGAGCCCTGCTCAGCCGACCTCTGTCCTCCTGCTGGACTCACCGAAGTATTTGGTGGTGGTGCCATCCTCAGCATGGACAACAACCAGCCCCGGCCGCAGGACCTGCAGGGTGGGCACGTGGGCTGCCAGGATACCGAAAGCTCCTGTCTGTGTGGGCACATCCACCTGCCGGACGTTAGCGCCATTGAAGAAGACCTGGAGAAGACACATGAGGAATAGGTCACTTGCAGGCCAGTCCCACTCCACCGGGATTCAGTCTCCCAAGTAGTGAAATGGGCTGGGCAGAGCTGAGAGCCAATCGGAGACACAGAAGCAGCCAGCGCTGGGGCCAAGTTGGGCCATCCTCTGTGAGAACGAAATCTAGCACCCAAGCCCTTCAGGGCTATGAGGAGGTACCTGCCAGGGAAAGGCACATAGGAGGTGCTTATCTCGGGAGAGGTGCTTGCAGCAAGGGGCAATCCCGGCTTAAAGGGCAGGTCCAGCCCTTGGGCGTCGAATTCCAGGTGGATGGTCCGGGAGTTTGGGAGGTCGGGGGTGGCAGGACCCCAGACCACACGGTGAAGGGGCACGGGTCCGTGGTACGGAATAGGGGTGGGCGACCTGGGGGTTGGGGTCTCGGACTGCGGATACCGAATGGGGATCGGCGACCTGGGGGTTGGAGAAATCGGGTTCGGAATGGGGGTTAGGAGGTTGGTGCCTGGGCCGGGGTCCGGAATGGCGTCCGCACCTGTGTGGGAGAGGCGAAGGTGAAAGACATTTGTCCCGGGCCCGCGGCGGGGGCTGGGGCGGCCGCAGCCTCGGCGTAGGCGCGAGCCTGGCGCACGAGGCGACCCAGGCCGGGGCGGCGGAGCAGCGCGGCGGGCAGCATAGCGGCGGCAGCAGGCAGAGGACGGTGGTCAGGCTCGGCGGGACGCGGGCAGCCTGGAGGGCGAGGAGGACGACGCGCGGTGACGTCTGGGAGAAGGATTACTAGCCAGAGCGCACGCGCTAACTACGACTCCCCGCCGTCGAGCGCGACGTAACCTGGGACGCGCCTGGGTGCGCAGCATGCTGGGGGTTGTAGTTTCGTTTCGGTCCCAGCTCTCAGACTGCTGGGAGGGTGTGTGAGTGTGGGAGAAGGAGGGGGGTGCTTGTGCGTGTGTGCTGCGGAGGTGGGAAACGACGGTTACAAGGTTCTGCATGCGGAGGACCAAAAGCCTGCGCGGAGGAGAAACTTAAGTTGAATTCAAGATTTAGGGAGCGCTAATTGGATGCCAGGAGCTGAGACATTAGAGAAATACCATGATTCCACTTCTGGTGTGGGGGTCGGGGGCATTTTATAGACGTTTAACGTTAGGGAAAAACAAATAAAAATTTTAAAATGTATGTTTTTATTTATTTCAGAGTGGAAGGGAAAGGGGGAGAGACGTAGAAACAACAGTGATAAGAGAGAATCATTGATCAGCTGCCTCCTGCACGCTCCACACTGCTGGAAACTGCGGGCATGTGCCCTTGATTGGAGTCAAACCTGGGACCCTTTGGTCCGCAGGCAGTGCGAGTCAGCGCCTGGGACGCGAGCACGGCTTGGCTGCAATCCCCGCGAGCGCCACGAGACGGCGCCCCCGTGTCCGGAGATGCTGTCCTTGCGGGCCCCGCCCGGCCGTCGCCCCCGCAAGCTGCTGACGCACTGGCGCGTGTGCGGTAGGCCGGGGGCTCCGCTGACGTCACCGCGGCCTGCGCAGCCTCGCTCGCGGCGCTGACGTCAACGCTCCGCCTCCGCGGTCACGCAGGCAGGTCGGCGAACTGGGCCGAGCCTCCAACCCCCACCTTGGGCTCTGGGAAAACGCGGAGTCCGGGCTGAACTCGAAAGGCCTTTGCTGTAGAGCTGAGGGATACAAGACAGGGATGTCACACCTGGGCCCCAGGCACCTGCTGTGGAGGCTCCCCAACCTCCGGGGTTGCATGAGTCCTAGCTTCCAGCAGGGTTCAGGCTGGCGATGTGGCTGCGCCCCTGCCTCCCAGCATCCAGGCCAAAAAAAACCCCACTCCGGGTTCTGGGGGGTGTGGGAGGTTGAGGGGAGGGGACGTGTGCATTGGGAAGCCCTACTCACATGTCTGGGGGTGCAGTGCGTCATGTGTGCAGCCCTACTCCTGAAACCTGGACCCCATAGGGAGGCCTCATCTACTTGAAACACTTCTTTCTTTTCTTTAAAAAATATAACTTATTGATTTTTTACAGAGAGGAAGGGAAAGGGACAGAGAGCTAAAAACATTGATGAGAGAGAAACATCTACCAGCTGCCTCTTGCACACCCCCCACTGAGGATGTGCCAGCAACAAAGTTACATGCCCTTAACTGGAATCGAACCTGGGATCTTTCAGTCCACAGGCCTACACTCTATCCACTGAGCCAAACCGGTTTCGGCTGAAAGACTTTTTTTTTTTTTCAATCCCTATTCCAGTAAAGGCACCACTCAGGTCCCAAACCTGGGGTTATCCTGGCATACCTTAATAGACCCATTGACAAGGCCTGTCCACTCAGCTTGGCCCCTGTGGCCACCGTCACTCGTTTGGATGGCCCCAGCCTCCTTCCCTAACCTCACTACACACACAGCCAGGGGGATCATGTTACCCCCTACTAGGAACCACAAAATGGTTTCCCCTGCTTCCTCAAACATCTCCATCATCTGCAAACACACCTTCCACCTCAGCACCTTTGCACCTGCCATCCCTTCTCACCTGGAGCCAGCTCTTCTTGGCATTGATCTACTTGGCTGCTCCTAGCTCTCCTTTTCGTGGTGTCAACCTTTCATCCAGTTAATAAGCTGTTCCCTCCTGGGTCCCAGCCCTGGGGACTCAGCCCTGAGTGAGCTCCTGCTCTTGGAGGTCATCCTGCCGTGGGGGCAGGGCTGAGTAGGGCCACAACACACAGGAGCTAGTAAGGTAGAGGTCCACAGCCAGAAACCAAGTGCAGCAGGCACGGCTTGTAAAGTGGTGGTTGCTATGTCAGCAGACAGCCAGGAAGAGAGGCATGAGGCTTTGCTATTTGGGAAGTGTTGAAGGGGTGAGGAAGGCAGCTTGCGGCTGAGCTGGGGAAGAGGGGTCTTGCCTCCCACCTGCGAGTGCAAATGCCTGGAGGCTGAAATGGGGCATCACCGAGCAGCAGCGTGGGCTTCCCGTGGGGAAGGGGTGTCGTGATGGGGTGTGGCTGGGATGCAGCCAGGACAGGGCGGATAGCAGATGGGTGGCCTAAGCATCTAGAAGGCAGGATTTTCGGAGAGAGAAAAGGGGGCACAGCCTTCGCGTTTGCCAGGCGTGGGGGTTCTGCAGGGTAGTTGTGATGTCACTGGCGCTGGGCAGTCCCTGGTGGCCCTCCATGCAGCTTGTGTTCTATTATCTTCGCTTGTCCGGACAAAGCAGGGCGCGCGGAGAGCCCTGACAGTGCTGCCCTGGCACGGAAACAAAGGGAGGACAGCCGAGACCCCTGGCTGTGTACCTTGGGGACCCCCACTGGGGGAAGATAAGGAGGGGGAGCCTGTGCACCCCAGGGTCCCGAGTTGGGGCGAGTCGTGCATCTCTGCACGCCCCCACCCCACCTGCCAAGACTCAGGGAGGGGTCGAGAAGTCGTGCTGCTGCAGGGCGTGGGGGCGGAGATCGGCGGCGGGAGAGGGCGGCTCCGCGTGGGGAGGGGGCCACCGGAGCGCAGGCTCCGCCCCCCGCCCGCGCCGGAAGGGAAGGGGAGGCGGTGGCCGGTGCGGACAGAGCTGAGCGCAGCGGCGAGCGCGGCGGCGGAGGCTGCCGGCCACGACCCGGCGGCACCCAGCGGGGGGGAGCGGGCTCGGAGCCAGCGCGGTCACGTGAGCGGTCCCTCCTCTCTCGCCTGCCTCCCCCGCGCACCGGGCTCTCCATTCATAAATTCTCCTCCTGCTCCTCGGCCACCGGGCGCCGGAGCCAGCGGGAGCGCCGCCGCGGAGCCGCCCGCCCGCCCGCCGCCCGCCGCCCATGGGCCGTGCGCCCCGAGACTGAGGTAGGCACGGCGGGCCCGGGGCTGCACCGGGCGGGCGGGGGCCCGGCCGTGGCCGCGGAGCCCGGGATCGCGCCGGCTCCAGGGCCCGCCCTGGCTCAGGACCACCGTCTTCTCCCCCCGCGAGGCCCGAGGGAGGGAGCGGAGGATCGGGGCGGGCGTGGGAGCCAGCCCTCGGGGCTCCGCACCTCGCCTGTGGCGGCCTGAAGGGGGACCCTCTCCCGCGCCCGCCCCGGCCTCGATTCCCCCCTGGGAGGTCCGGGGAGGGCGAACGCGCTTCCGCCTCCCGGCTCAGCCCGCGGTTGATGTACCTGGAGCCTCGCTCCGCCGGTCCTCCCGCGGCATCCCCGCCGCCGGGGCCGGATGTGAGCGCGGGGAGAGGCGCAGAGGCCAGCGAATTCGGGGAGCCGAGGCCCGGCTGCACCTCGGGGTCTGGCCTGGAGGAACCTCCACCCTCTGCCCCGGTTCCCGCCTACCCCCGAGAATCCACCTCTCTCCTTCCTCCGCCTCCTGCCATCTTCCCTCGTCTTGTCATGTCCATGCGTCTCCGTCCCCTCCCCCTCCGGTCTGAACTCATTTCTCAGCCTACATTCTGCGCGCCGTACCCCCAGGTGGGCGGGGGCGCCGCGGCCAGGCTCACCCCGGCGCTGGGGACACCCGGCTTCCGTCAGCACCCGCCCCTCCTCTTGGCCTCGGTTTCCCCCGCTGTCCCGTGGGGTCCAAACCCCAAAGTGGCACGGGCATTCCCTTGCCTCCGGGGAAGGACCGCGCGGGCGCCCAGCCGACTGCTGCTGGCCATCGGCCCCACACTTTGTGCCCCGAGATTCCCGAGCGCGTCCCCGTCCTCCCCGCAAGGGGAGGGTCAGGTGCAATGTCTGGGCGGCCCTGCTCCCGGGTGCCGGGCCCCTCCCGGGCCTCAGTTTCCCCGAGCGTAGAGACCCGCCGGCCCGCGCGGGGAGAGGCCGCCGGCGGAAGAGCCTGACCTCGGGCTGGGCACCGGCGCGCGAGGAGCAGGCGCGCAGCAGCCATTTTGCTGCCCAGGGCCGGCTGGAGTCGCCCCTGCAGGAGGCCTCCCTCTCACGCCCCGCCCCTCCCCTCCCTAGTGCTCCCTGTCAGACTCCCCCCACCCCCCCAGCTCAGCCTGCTCGCTCAGTCGCCATGGGAACCAAATTCTTCAGGGCTGGGAACAGATGCGCCTTTGGCCTTTTCACTCCCACTAGTGCTCCGTGGAAGGGGGACTCTACCTCCGGAGTCAGGACCCTGGAGACCCCGCGCTCAGCTCCTCCTTCCCGCTCCCCACGGTGGCTTACTTGTCCCCCTAGCCTGGGGCCAGGCTTCTGAAGCTTCCGTCTCCCGGATGGGGCAGGCAGGGCCCTGTAGTCCTCACCAGCGGTGGACAAGGAGGCGGAGCTGACAGTCTCAGTGTCTCCATTCTCCCAGGATGCCTGTCCTTTCCTGGGCAGGTCTCCTAAGCACAGTGCCACCTTGCCAGCCCGACCCCACCAGCTGGGGAGGCGTTTGACCTCATCTTAAAGACTGGAAGATGGCAGTCCCTGCTGGGCACTGATCTGAGGGGGTGGGAGTGGTGTGGGATCCCCCCACACACACCTATCTGTGAATCACTGCCCTGTGTGGGCTGCCGCTCTGACTCCCTGGCATGAGTGAGGGGGCAGGTTCTGGGAGCTGGAGCTGAGCAGCCGCCCTCCCCTAGGGTCCTTCTCGCCTCAGAATGCAGCCCACAGCCACCATGGCCACGACCGCTACCACCGCCACCACGGCCACCCTGACCACGGCGTGGGACAACACCACAGGCCGCCCCACGGTGAGCGAGGGGGTTGGCAAGGAGAGGTCGACAGGCCTGGGCCGCCAGAGTCCAGGCAGGACCTGACCCCCGCTCCCCCACAGGCGGAGCCTGACCCCGTCTTGGACAACTACATGCTGGTGGTGGTGGTGATGTCGCTCTT